GGTGGACCAACTCCCAATGTGCGCCACGGTGTTAACAACAGTTGCGTGTAGGGTCCGTACAGCTAAGTCTCAACAGACCCCATATGCCAGGTTTCCGCGAGTATTTCAAGCAGGCTTGTAAACCGGCACAACATCCGAGGACAAAGTTTTTTCGTAGTTCTACCAAGAGCTTGAATAGATGTGTTCTTCGGACAGAATCCAAGTTCTTACCGAGCAAATATTAAGCACATTCAAAATCACAGCCAGTGCTAAACGGACACCCTTAATCAGTAGTTTTTGAGCATGTGAAGTCACACCTAAGTACACCATAAAAAGAAAGGTCTGTCTGGGAGACAGTCACCTGATAGACACTGTTATAGTTTGTATAGAAACAATCAACACCTGTATGTAACCATGGTGAATGACAGGATGAATAAACTTACAGTCTGTATATAACACTACATTGAACAAATGTTGACAATAACAGAAATATCAAACAAAAACTGACTGATTAAGGGAAGATTTCTTATATGAATGGATACATTTTAAGAAAAGTCTATAAACGTAACTCTAATGAATGAGTCAATGATTGATACAAATATCATTCCTTCAGGACACAATATCACCAGCTTATTTTCCTCACACAATAACTAAATTTTGTGGGTAAGTCAATTAAATAGTTAATGTTTTGTGATACACAAACGGTCAAGCCCCTTAGCTAAAACAATCAGCTTATCGACATATCCACTTCCTAAGTTGGCGTCAACTCTACAACATAAACTTGACAGTTTGAAAACCATTATCAAACACAAGCAGATGGGCCATGAAAATCTCCCATGTTGACCAAGCTGTGTGAGTCGTCACAGACGCTGGAAATATCTGTCTCGCAGTCACTTAAACAAGTCAACTGACATCAACGGAACTAAGAAGAATGTTGGTGTCATTCCTCTCTCTACATATGAAGTGTGTCACGTTTCCCCGAACTTGACTTTCAAATGTGAAAAACTCCACACCAACTAATCTGTTTATGGTTCGCATTTTCACATAAATTTATGAACAGGCTGTTTGACCGACCTCCAGGATAACATCATACGTATATGCACGCCCAGTTTCAATATCGAGTTATAAGGCTTTTCAGTCGAACAGAAAGAAAACACTGAGGCCTCAAGCTGACTAATGTAAACTGTTCAGTCTTCTTTGTTCCCAGTAATCGAACTTCCTACGGGTTTCAGTCTCATGAATACTTGGCGAGATGGTCATTTGGTTGTGGAGATTAAGAACAAAAGCCCACAGCCATAGCCATGGTTGAGAATAATATGTCCACATATATCACAACAAGGTTGGAATCTGGAATGAAATTGGCTGTAATTTAACACGACACCTTCTAGAAGAGCTAGTAAGCTGGGCTGTCAGCTGGGATGGGGAGTAAGATAAATTGAGTCATAACAGCTCTGCAATCATTTCACGGATTTATGACAAACGACCGTTCCCTGCCCCCCACGACACCGGAGTTTGTATACACTTACATACACTTCTACCTTCATATAACAAATCTCCCTGCCAGGTAATGCTCTTTGAACACTGGGATTACAAGTGATTACAAACAAATGAAAGGTGTCGGCTCTGTCGCCCTGGCAGATTGCAAGATGACAGAATTACCGAGCACATCTGAAGAGTGTGGATATGTCCTATCTTCAACATGCCTCGCCTTACTGATCCCACACACGCCTCTGCCACCGATCATGTAAGGCAATTTTGTTTTCTTATAAAATACTTTCGTTTCTGGTATCAAACAGAATAATTATTTCATGACACAGAAATTTTCATAGCATCACCTCACTACACACCAAGAATCTAAATATATAATAATGATAACTTAATGATAGAACCACACACTTCTGGAGACCCATGACTGTCATAGTTGGAATGTAGGCTACCGTTTATCATTGTTTATCATCATGATCATGCTATAATATTGTAAACATGTTACCTACTATTTTCTATGAAAATAAAAGGAAACATGATTTTTATGATGCACTTCCATTCTAGCAATAATCCATCCATATGACTGCAGACTAACACCAGAAATGCGCTTCTCATTTTGTACTCACGCGGGAATCAAATCCCATCTTGCCAAGGCAAATGGTTGCGCCCAGTGAAGACGATGTGATCGATAATCAAGATCGATATTGTAATAAAATGGGTCTGACTTAGCGAAGTGTATCAAATCACGTGAGCACATTGATTATAAACATGAAAATATTTGGAAAATATCTGTTGGCACTGAGTTGCCGGTACACATGCTCTGCAAATCATGCAATCGATCGAAATCTGCTATGCAGTTTATGAAGCGAATGTTGATTTGACTATGCATTGACTCGTTAGTCCAGCCAAAATATAACTCCCCAATCCAGACAAGTTCATCAAGGGTCGAAACTGGACTTTTATAGTCAGTTAACTCGGGAAAATGTCAAATCCTGGTTTGACAAGTCAATGACTTGGCAGTGTTAACCACAAGGCTACAATTTAATACTGAACAGAAATGTCCCTGGCACAGCAACTGGTTGGGCACATTACTAAAATCACAGACCCGACTCTTATTGCCAAACAGTGGCTATAGGTCTACTGCTCATGTTTCACATGGTACCTAAACACACAAGTATTTTGTTTAGGGCCTAAGAGCGGACATCACACGAAGCTCCCACTTTTAAACACAATAACTGATTGTTTTAATTTGATGTTTTGTTTACCCTTTGGATGCACAACAGACATAACCAGTCTACCAGTTTGACCCACGGGACATCACAGGATCACTGTCTTTAGGTAGATAATCCTTCTGCATCAATAGCTTACAGCAGGGTTTGTTTACTTTCACTAATTTCAGACGTGATGTGAACATGTGTTGAATCAAAACCAGGATTCAGCTTAGTTGTGGCTCGTGGCACCATGTTAACTGGCACACAAACCAGGCACTAGGGATTTATCGAGGATTCCAAACTAAATGCCACTTGTCAGGCAAAATGTCATACAGAATACTGCCAAGTTCACAACGGACAAAGCTTGGTGATAGACTTAAAATCACAACTGAGACTTGTTTGACTTGTTCCACTTGGTTTCCTTACAATATAAATATTCTTCCACAATTGGACATTCTCAAACATGGTACTGATGTCAAGCATATAACTTAAGGACAATAAAAGTATTTGGTGATCCTCCAAGTCAGATTTACCAAATGCAGTTATAGCAGACAATAACAGTACCGAAGAACACTTGAAGCAGTAATTAATCAATGTGAGCATGAACCTGTATCAACAGGAATGACGTCATTAACGTGATTGACAGATCAGTAGACTGGGGGACATTTCTACTGGTGTCATTCTCTCTGTAAGTCTTTGATCTTGCTATATTGATGCATCAATAATAATTAATGTTGATACTGTATCGATACTCAGTGAAGAATATCAATACTATATTATTAAGGTACTGCCACGGAAATGTTTACATATAACAAACACCAGGGCTAAAATGGACAATAAGAAGGCAGAAAGTTTAATTTTAAACATCGACTGGAACAGTCTTGTTATTATTTATTTGCTTACTAGCAGATCCAGACAGATTTTTTTATCTGCAGAGCTCCAGATAAGCTTTTGGTGTTGTTGGTATTTTACCCATGCATTTTAAAATCATTGGATATCAGTAATTCTATCTGGGTATTCAAATTTCTGTTACCCACTAGTTTTTACACATGTGGGTATTTAAGTTAAATATTTAAAAACACTATTCATCTAGTCCCTGCAAACTGGTGTCGTGTGGGTTCTAGAGCTTTATAGGTCTAAAGAATTCCACGACAATTCCACAAGAAAGTGTGATGGCAAATGATCATGATGTAACTGTCATCGTGGAGTTTGGCAAGGTTGACGGAATGCCCGTTTATAATTTCAAAATAAGTTGCTGATTTGCTAATCGAATATGCAAAGTTACTTCACAATATTTTGATGATATACACAAGTTTTATTTTTGTAGCGTATCTGTAATGTTCGTTGCGTATTTGATATGCTTGGATTTTATTTTACTGCGTATTTCTGCATTTCTGATGTGTATTTTACGCAGATACGCAGCTTATCTGGAGCTCTGATCTGTACTCATACAGAAACACAAATATTGTTATTAATCAATATCTTGATATATTGATACAAACTGTCCAATCAATGACACCCCTACTGAGAAATGTGAATCATTTGATGTAAGCAGTTGCACCTTTCCACAATGCAACCCACTCGCAATAATCTAAGGGGGACAACTCTTGCAAAGCAGCTGAGTGAAGCACCAGTAAAATAACACATTGGCCAACCCGTAACACTTTGCAGTGACTGCAGTAGACATGTCAAAGGAGTGTTTATGATCAAGTTCCTCAAGCTACTTGACAACAAGCACAAGACGAGTCTCTATGGAGTGAACCGAATGAGGACATCGCTTTCCCTTCTGTAATGACTATAAGCTAAATGAAATTGCAAGGTGTTGAATCAAAGGTTATCACAACTTCTTTTCCATGGTTTTCACATTCAAACAGTTTGGTTTGATAGGCAACAGAAGAGTAACATAAAATCTGGCTTCTTACAACGATGACTGCAACATAGATTTTGCAAAATGAAACAATGACTATTCAGGGACCTTGTGTGACTCTGCAATGTGATACTGCCACAACAAACTGTAACTGGGCTTTACCGCTAAAACGTTTAAATAAAGGGCACAGTATACTGACTCAGAACTGACCAGTCCTTGTTTTACCCCGTTAATGGTGGGCGCTAGACAGAGTAACAACAAGTACCATCTTTTAATGTCTTTTGGTATGATGCGGCTGTGAATAGAATCCCGGACTTTCCGCTCTCCAGATGGATGCTCTACCTCTAGACCACAGAGGCGGTCCTATTGACTAATGATACACCAAAGTCCATTCTGTCTTTTTTTAAATGGTGTCGTGAGAAAAATATGCAGCAAGAATTTGTTATATGACAACTTACCTTTCTAGCCAATGCGAATCCTTCGGAATATCGTCTAGGATCCTCATCTGCTAGACCGAGAGCTTTGTCTCTGTTAAGTCGTGAAATGATTCCACGGACGAATGGATCGTCTTCCTCCTCAGAATCATCATCATCATCATCATCGTCACCTTGGAAGTACGGAATGGGAGGTGCTGAAGGGGATCTGCCGGCGTACTTGGCAAGGCTCGCTGCACTAAAGGCTCGCGGGCTCAGTTTCCCTGCAGCCAGGTCAACAGCCTCAACCTTCTCACTCTTAATGAAGTTTAACTGAGCAAATGGAGCCGACACTGGTCGTGGGGCAGTAAACCCATTCCTGCCTAGGAAACAATCCCGCGAGTCTTGGGACTCAGTATCACTGCTAAGATTCTGTTCGCTGGCATGTCTTTGTCTTGCTTGGAGTAACTTATGCATGCTCATACGCAATGTCTCGGCATTATTCTGTCTCTCAAGGTCATCTGATGACCTTGCTTTCCAGAGTGAGATCGGATCAGGCATTGCACGTGGATTAAGTTTGCTACCCTGCCAACATTCCTCGCTGCTTGTTGAAGTGTTCATTCCACGTCGGATCTCCATGGCCGACTGTGGTCGTGTGGAATTGTGTCTTGGTGTAGGCATAGTGTTCACTTCAGGAGACAAATGCTGAAGGGCATGGTTAGGGTTAGATCGTGTTGGGTTCCCAGAAGCCTCTGCTACTCCCTGATTCTGAGCAGCATCTACTGGCATGTCCACAACAAACACACGCTCGTTCACTTTGTCCTCACGGCCAAAGCCCAGACCACTGTCACTATTGCTGCTGTTGCTGCTGCTGCGCTGGATGGCCCGAACTGGGTCAGCGAGGGCTTGAGACTGGACAATATCATTCTCATACACACCACGAGGACGGTCCTTGTAGAGATTGGCTACAGATAATATTATTGGAGTTGCAGAGCGAGGGAACTCCAGACACCTTTGTGTTTCAGGATCGACAGTACACTGAATGTTGAAGGCTTTGGCTTTTTGAGTATGGCTGTTATGAGATCTTAGCTCTGGGTCCACCATGAAGATATGACACGAGCTGGCAGTCGGTGCATCATCCCTCTGCACACTCATCTCGCTCATATCATCACTTGGAGCATGAAGAGTCACAATTCCGAAGAACCGTTTATCGTCTGGACAGACACCACTGAACGCTAGCCTGTCCACTGGGTAATGAGCTATACCGGCTCCCATTGCATTTGTCAACTTGACACCATCAGGGTCTACTTCCATAAGAACAAGAGTGTGAATCTTCTGCTCGATGCGAAGTCTCCGCACTGCATTTCTTAAAGACTGAATTCTCTGGTGGGGTCTACTTGAGTTGCTTGGCATCTCGATTGAGCCAATATATCCCACGATAGCCTTGATGTCACCAGCAGGGGGCTGCATATCAAAGCTATCGTCATCCTCGGGGTACCCCGGACTTGCAGGAACAGCAGCAGCAGCTTCTGCTCCTTCTGCCTGCTGTTCCCGTGGCAACTGTCCTGGGTCGGACATCCCAGAGCTGGACAGGCCATGTGATGACACGATGCCAGATGTCGGGAACATACCCTGGAACCCTGAGATATTCTGAGAGTGAAGTTCTTGAAATTGGACAGATCCTGTTGACGTTATTGTAGCATTTTCCATGCCATTCAAACTTGACTTTGATGTTTGCTGGCAAGAATTTAAAGACGATTTTGAGCCTCGTTGGGGTGGGGGCGGCTTTGAGTTTTTATGCAAACTTGTGCGTGAGCTCTGTCCATATTGTACATTTGATCTTGGGTCTTGTTGAAGATTTGATTTTGAGTCTCTTAGTTGCTTCAAGCTGGCTCTGGACTCCTGCCTATGGGAGTTTTTATCAGCAGACACATACTGGTGAAAGGCAGATTGGTCTGAAGAATAAATTCTATCTTGAGACGCCCCATCAGTGAGAGACGAGTTCTGGGAGGTCTCAGACTCACCACCTATCACTTGCCTATGTCTTAGTTTCATGTTATCTCCCCTTACATCGGCCCCTCTGTGTGGTCGGCTATTAAGATCAGAATTTGAATGTTTATCTCTCGTGTTTCTTTCAAAAGCTTGTCTGGGACGAATACGATTTGGATATCTGGACTTTGTACGTGGTGGGTAATCATCGTCTGAGGAATCAGAGCTGTTGTAGTTCTCCGCCACCTGCAGCTCAAGAGTCCCTGTCGACAAGCCGACCATACGAACCACATCATCATGGCTGTAGCGGGACACATTCTCGCAGTTCACTGACACCAGATAGTCCCCTGGTTTGAGTCCGGCCTGTTCTGCGGGACTGCCGGCCACAATACAACTAAGGACACAGGGATGCTGGCCTGATATCGTGAATCCATAGCCCGACCTGCCCCGGGTCACCGCCACCGTCTTTACACCATGGATCGGGCGTTTCTTCCTCCTGCGGGGCTGATGCATTCCGGCCAATCCTGCAACGAAACAAAACAAATTATATCCATTATGCTTTACAATCTCACAAAGCTATTTGTGACTTAGGCATCTAGTTTTGAACCTGTCAAGAACAAATATGGTCAGTCTAGCAGTTCAGCTATGTCCATAACAAATATATTATGAGACAAATTTTGCAATAACGTGAGGCAGTTATTGTGTTTTATCTCTGATGTCTCTCCACACATATTTGATATAAACATTGTTTAACGAACTGTACATTAACTGATACTGCAAGTGACGCCAGAGGCATGGTGTGACTATGTGTATGGTGTATTTCATCAAAATTTGGTTTGGTTTGTTGTTTTACGCCACACTCAGCAATATTCCAGTTATATGATGGCAGTCTGTAAATAATCGAGTCTGGACCAGACAATCCGGTGATTTACATCATGAACATCGACCCACGCAATTGGAATCCATGACATGCATCAACCAAGTCAGCGAGCCTGACCACCCGATCCTGTTAGTAGCCTTTTACAAGCATCGTCGCCTTTTAGGGCAAGCATAGGTTGCTGAAGACCTATTCTACCCAGCATTTTTACGGGTCATTTTATCAAGAAAAGGGAGTCGTGAACACACGTGATAAAGCCACTTTTTTTAGGCAGGATGTATGGTAGTGCATCTTTCTGAGGGAAGAGTGTCCACTATCCTATACCAAAGCCTTGTTTCCTTCCTTGCCATTGCAAGCCTACTTTTCTTGGCTCAATCGCAGTGCCACCCTGTGTAGAAAACATGTTGTATCCCTTGTGATGAAAATGCATATCCAATCAGAAAGCTGTTCTTATTTCAAATGGCTTCACAAAGATGACTAGCATAGCAGAGGACCTGGTCGATCAGATAACAATACAATTCAGGATTTCATTCCTGGCAGACAAACAAAATGAAGATTACCACAGTAAAGTTACTTATCACTGGCGCATTTTGCTCTTACAATGACAGAGGCATAAAGACATACCAATATTTCCAAGTCTTCCACAATTGCAAATTTGAGCTTTCCAGTGGGCCATAAACATGATAAAGGATCCTTTTCATACAGAGTCCTTTATGACTGTTTTGAAACTTTTCACATACAAAGTGCAAATCATGCTATTTTAAAAATTACAAGATTTTTTTCTTTTAATCATACTTAAAATATGATAACATTTTAGTACTAAACTTTTCAACATGTTTAAAGTAGAAGTAAAAGTTCTAGCAGTCTATTAGATTTTGACCCCTGTCCCTACACTCCCCACAAACACCCCCTCTCTTTTATGTGTGTGTTGGAGGTGGCGGAGTTGTACATAGATGTATTATATTGAGGGCCTTGTATTGGGATCAATATTTTATCGCCGTACTGTTACTTGTGTGTTTTAGTGTCAGTGAGTGTGCTGGACAACATGAATAAATAAACACAGATGTGAGGCGAGGTGTTTCGCAGTAAATATATATAATAATTAAATTATTATGGCCTGATCAACATGGTGAATCACATCATCTTATTCATAACTATTGTTCCCAAGAATCTACAATCAAACAAAATCACTATTAAAACAATCTTTGAAATGTATATGTAAACCTGATAATAATTTGTGGCCTTGGCATGCCTTGTAACTTGTTCTTGCACAGTAAATTGATGAGTACCTGGACACATACCAATTGTCAGGTACTTTGCAAGAGAATATATGTCAATTTAAACAGCATGTCTGTGAACTCTAGTTTAAGAAGTGTCCATTGCATTAAATGCAACATCTGCAAGAGGAAATGTTTTCAGTTCACTCACAGCATCAATTATAGCATCCAGACCTACACTGACAATGGAAATGTAACAGTATCAGCAAAACTGTAGTCTCCATTTCAGGTAGATGGCCATATTCATTTGAATTTATGAACAGATATGAACTTAACCACTTGTATACCCGTGCATATAGTCAATAAAGAAATAAATCAAAGGTAGTCAAGTATTTGAGTATATGTCATAAGAAGTATTTTTATAGCTAATATTTTACATGTATAACAATGCCAACAAGATTCACTTTTATAAAAAAAATTAAAAAACTACAATTTACTGCATTAACCCAAACACTGATCTGACATCAAGATATAATATGTAAAATGATGATATAATATTATAAATAATGATATGTGTAGTTATATAAATCCTTTGTACTCTACTGTGTTATATCCCAAGACAGTAGACACGACAGAGCACTGTGAAAAAAATAATTTTAAAAGCATCACCATAAACATGTGTTTTTATGTCCACAAAAATAATTGAATGACAAATAAAATGACAAGACAGACATGCTGATTTGAAGGGGGCATAACAAAAAAATAATTAATGAAGGCGAAAATCTTGGGTTGTTGTTCCTGAAACAAAGGTTTTCTTGGTTGTGGCCTTACAGGACTGAACATATGATAAATAATGAATTTAAAACGAATACTGAACTGACGTATTTCCATCTACTTAATAATGGAAGGTGTCTGTCTCTTTTTATAACTTTAGTGAATTTGCATAACCAGCTGGTAAAATGTTTTACCTTTGGCACCAACATAAACAAGGCAAGACTGTTCTGGATATTTTGAAGGATCTGGTAAAAGATTAAATCACAAAAAAAATGAATAAATATCAATGAAATTTCAACACAGAATAGGTGGTGTGAGTTTTAACACACTCTGGACCCTGGGGGCGACCTCACGGATTTGATGGTACACATGTGGAGATCATGTACAGCCATGTACAATCTTTTCCTGTCTTTCTGTGCCAAACTCGGTCACCCTTTCTCTCTCTCGTTCCAGATTTCAACATGCTTCTAAGAGCAGCACGGAGAATAACTATCCCACGAGAGACCCAAACACGCCGTATATCCGACCACTGGTACCGATTTGAGATGCATACAATATTTTTAAAATAAAAACATGAAACTGAAAGTGACGTATACATACGGTGTTGATTTCACAAACAGGTAGATATGGCTTCGCGCACCTGTCTCCCAAATAAACACTTTCTTACCGATCTAATTTCAGACTTGTAATTGCCCGGTGCTTCTCGACATATCAACCATATGTCAGGCTGATATATCAGTTAGATGCTTCATAATGCCCAGAAAAATATTGGTAGACCCCTCAAGGTATTATTTGTTTTCAGCGGTTCAAGATGGACGACCGTTTGATGTCAGTGATGGTACGGACAATCTGATTGGTTCATTTCCTGTGACGTCATAACGCACCAAATTCAGATAGCAGGTGCCCGTTGTCTTTCAAATGGTAAATGCTGATAAACATGTACGTCGTGGATATAAATAGGCACAGATACATATTTAGGATAATTTATGTACGTTTTATTTCAAAGGATATAGATTCATACCTGACAACTCCCTGATGCTTTATTCTATTTGCCGTGCTTAGATATTGAATAAATGATATACAGTCAACAGCATATGCTAATAGTGGTATTAGCATTCTATATTCAGATGAGTATAAACGAGTGAAAATAAATACTTTTGTATGATACTGCACATGTGCACTGCAGAACGGAATACATTAGGATGCATAAACAACCCGAATTAAGTTGCTGAATAAACAATGACAACATTGCCATATTTTGATCACTGCCGTTACAATGTAAGATTGAAACTGTTACCACATGCATAAAACAATTATAATTTACAAAGTTGATGAATTGTGGAAGTGAATTGAGATTTCATATTACAAGGGTATCCTGGAGTAGGGAACAAAAACCGAAAGGTGACCTATGGACAAAACATTCGTCCTGTGTAAGTTATACCAGACAGAAGTCCTTCCTTAACGAAACCAGAGAGGCTATAAAAGATTATATATAGATTCCAACAGCTGGGGCCAACGCAACTAATATTTTACGTACGATTTCTGAGATCGAGAGTTATGTCCCTTTGACCCTATATCGTTTGCAGATGTTCGCCCAATCGTGCAACAGGAACCATTGATTCGGTTCCATTATTACACATGTGGACATTACATATGGTTGTGCTTGTCAGAACGCATCTCACATGGCAACAGCAGTAGAATTTTAGCTGCAGTAAGTATTACTTGTTTTGTTACACTGACAAATACAAAATAATGGTTTATTTTTGTGAGAATATATCTGAAACTGTCAACTCTCAGAATTACTCGTGATATCGGGATAAACACAGGTTCAAACTATTTACTAAACATAATATTCTATTCTTTATCTCGAAGTCAGAGTTTTCTATTCCTATATACCGTAATATACATCAGGAGTCACGTGTCATATTACAACTACCTCATTTAAATATCATACACACGAACGTAAGTTGCCCAGTTAAATGTTGCAGTAACAGGAATGAATATAATGTCTCATGAATGGGTTATGAAATATATTCGGACACAGTTTACGATCTACGAGAAGCGACCTACGTAAACAAGGACCTAATTTCAACGGTACAGCCACGTTTAACTATACATGAATATTTCATTTACTACGGATATGACGAACCTATTTTAACAGTACAGCCACTTTTAACTATACATAAATATTCTATTTACTACGGATATGGCGAACTTATTTCAACAGTTCATACATGTTTAACTATACACGAATGTTTCATATACTACGGATATGACGAACCTATTTCAACAGTACATACACGTTTAACTATACATGAATATTTCATTTATTACGGATATGACGAACCTATTTCAACAGTACACACATGTTTAACTATACATGAATATTTCATTTACTACAGATATGACGAACCTTTTTCAACAGTACATACATGTTTAACTATACACGAATGTTTTATATACTACGGATATGACGAACCTATTTCAACAGTACATACATGTTTAAATACAGGAATAGTGTATATACAACTGATATAACGAATTTATTTCAACACGTCAGCCATGTTTAACTATACTTGAATACTTTCTATACTACTCATATTCTGAACATATTTCAACGGTACTTCAGTGTTCGTCATAACTATATATGATTGAA